GTTCTTCTTGACCCTACACTGAGCAGACATGGCTGAAGAGAAAATTTGCTGAGATTCCTTCTGACCTCAGCAATTCTGAGATTCTGTAAAGCTGGAAAGATGAGGTTTTGGGAGCATTCTTTAAGTTCAGAATACAGGTGACCTTCATGGCCTCTTCTCCACTATTGCATTGTGTATACATACATGGCTAATCATTTATATTAGTGTAGTGGGGATATCAGTAGAAAGGGAATGCTACATCATATCACCTCAGCATTACAGAGAGTAAACAGGTTGTATTATCATCAACCATTGCACAGAATCCAGAAACCAATGTGGTACACTGGGCTAAGATTACTTATACCAGATATTGAGGGTAGCATGTAAAAGGCTGCAAAACATGCTGAAAATCAACAAATGGTGCATGCAAAGCAGATATAAGACCATTACATACCATTTTTAAGTACTATGCAGAAAACTGGTTAACACTGTGTTTATTATTATGGCAGTTGCTGGCTAAATTAACAGTAAAAGAAACAAATAACAAGAGGAAAAAAACAGACTAAAGAACCTCCAGATGCCTTCTTGACAGTAAGGCACTGAACAACCTGCTGCCCAGAGGCTCAGTTTTCAGACAAGTTTGAGACTGCTGCATTCCACTTCCTGAACACGGCAGCTTTCGATTTGGGCCCCGAGGAAGATAAAAGCCACTGAGAGAAAAAGACTTGGTTTCACTCTGCACTTTTAAGGCAACTCATCTAGAAAAGACCAAAACAGAGTCAAAACACAGCAGCAAGGCTGTGAAATGTGGTTGGTTGTAGAATGACCCAAATGGAATACCAGCACGAAAAATACCAGGCCAATCACATGCTTCATTCAGCCCATAAAATCAGGTGGGTAAGTATGAAATGTAAGAGTTAATGCAGTCCTCTAGATTAAGTAACCAGTAAGTATTTACCAGGATGAATCCTAACTACTCTTTGGGATCCTGATTACAGGTCTCTACTGTCATCACTAAGGAGAGATAAATTACTTATTAATTCAGGCACTAGGATACAGACTCCCTATTGCTTGTGTGGATAATATCCTACCTGTATTTGAAAAGAAAATGATACACTGTTATTTTTCCTCCTGAAGTATCTACCAGGCATACTACAGTATTTATGGATCCAGTTTCACAATCTCTTTAGGGCAGTACACGTAGAGAATGCTGCCAAAACAGGTCATCCTATCTGCTCTCATCTTTTTACACACATTATTAAACTGGTAAAGTGAGGATAACTAGGCATGTATTCTAAACATTGCTAGGACTCTTCCTAAAGATTAAACAATTATTTTATTTTATATGATCCACATACTGTAGTGTGGTCTATAACCTAGATTCAAATGTGACTGAAGAAGACACGCAACTATATCCTGGACAGTGGGTCGGAGGAAGCAGAAATTATAACATTTAGTGAAACTAGAAAAATAGACAGCTACAACCTGAAGTTAACTGAGAATTAATGACAGAGTAGAAAGTAAAGTAGAATAAATCACAAAAACCTCTTACGTTTTGGCAGAAAAGTATGGAAAGAGAATGGATGTGCCATTCCATGTTAATTGCACTTAATGACACATTAATTTACGGTTGTAAACAAAAAGGAGATGGTCGTTGAAGTCTGTACAGGTGCTGTTCAGGTGGAGGCTCTATTCTATGCTTGTCTAGCGATGCATCTGCGGCGACCATCTGGCACATTTTTATGGGCGCAAAGGTGGGAACAGAACTGCCTGCACTTACGGCTGTAAAGAGTGCCAAGGAATAGGGGCTACTCGCAATGTTGGGCAGGTCTTGTGCAGGCACAGAGAAACCGAAGAAAAGGCTCATTGTCCCGGCTACCTGGAGCGGTGCATAATTACGCGCACACGATGAGACGCGCTGCGGGGCTCTCAGGAGCGCAGGGTACCGGGCCGGGCGGCCAAACGCGGGGCAGCCCCCGCGCCCCGGCACAGCGGAGCCCGCCCGGCGCCGGGGGCAGCTGCTCGCTCCCCGCGCCGCCCCCTCGGGCCGCGCCCTCCCCTCACCTGGGCGAGAGCGGTGCGGGCAGCGCGGCGGGGTCGCGCTCCATCGCCGCGGCGGGGCGGGAGCAGCCGGCGGCGGTGACAGCTCCGCGCTAGGTGAGCCCGCCGCCACTGAGCAGGCGCGGAAGCGCGCGGCCCCCGCGATGATGTGGCCCGTGATGCGCAGAGCCGCCGCCGCCGGCACCGGCCGCTCCGAGCCCGCGGGGCGGGGCAGGGAGGAGCCGAGCCCCGTGCCACCGGACGGGACGGGACGGGACGGGACGCTTTGCCCGTGGGCTCTCCCAGCCCGGCCCCCGGGGCGAATCCCCGCTGCCCGATACCCGCTACCCGCGCTGCGAGACCCGCCCGCGGCCCCTTGGCCTTGCTGCCCCGCTGCCCCCCGAGGGCCCGGCTGTGCCCGTAGCCGGGAAAGCGAAGCGCTGGGGAGTGGGGCCAGGGCGCTCCCCGGGCAGCGGCGGTGCCTTTGCTTCCACTCGCAGAAGCTCTCTTGGCCGTAGCACAGGAGCCGTCGTTTTGCACTGACTCCTGACTGCCAGCTGCCAGGACGTTGTGGCTCTTTCCTGCCAGCTGGCGAACAGCAGCTTCCTCAGGAATCCAATTTTGTAAAGTGTTTGGGTCACTTGGAATATCCTTGTTCTTGCCCAACTGGACTGTACACCCTGCAAACAGCGTGTAAGTCTGCAAGTTCCTCCCTTGACATCAACTGTCTCTGTTTAACTAAGTACGGAGCCAAGGCCTTGCTGGACTCCTGTTTTGAAAAACACTTTATATTAACACTTCACATTAATACATTGGAACGGTCAAGCCAGATAAATTTGTGCATTTATTATCAGTACTAGTATTATTCCTCAATAGTTGCTTGACACTTTGAAGTGGTGAGGATGCCTTAACTGGAAGGTGAAAGGGAAGAAAGGAAGAAAGAGGATGAGAAGATTTAATGATGGTGACAGCACCCAAGCCCACAGCATCCTTTTTCCTGTCTACAGAGAGGAAAAAAAAAGCATCACGGGCAAGTCACCAAGTGTTTGCCATAAACTGGAGCTAGCTGCAGTGGGGAAATGTATTTGCAGGACTGGGGCCAAAACATTCTGCACTACGAGAGTGAAGCATACAGGATGAGCTTGAACATTCACATCAATACCACCACCTTAAATGAATGAAGCAGCCCAAACTTCAGAGCTAATAATTCAGCTGTCTCAAGCCTGTATTTAGGGGATTTGGGCTGCAGATCTGTAGCTTCCCTACCCTAGTAGCAACCCTATATACCCATGGCCTGTGTGAGCTCAGCTGTTACACAGCTTGGATACTTAGCTGGGCTACCCTACAAATCAGATAAAGATCACATCTGCCAACAGCTGAGACTGTAAACCTGAGGTTTGGGAATAGCACCCGAGGGTGCTTTTTCTGGCTTTTCTAATTGCTTGTCTGGTTATCTTGGGCAATCACTTCATCACTCACTACTACAGGTTCCTTGACAGCATTATGCCCCACCCTCCATGGAATCACATAATACCCACGGATGAAGGATATCGTTTGAGGTTCACACACTATTGTTTTGGGTTGTGTACAAAGTCAGAAAGTCTTGCTTTTGAGGCCCAAGGCAAAAAACCTCAGCCCTCAAGATTTTTCAGTCATTAAAGCTAGCAGTGGGATTTTTCTGGGAAATGGAAATTCTGAACTGCAGCTGGGGAGGAAAGGTGCAGGTAGTGGAATGCACCTGGCACTGTGGGTGGGCTGGGGAGGTGGCAGAGGACACTCATTTGGACAGTCTGTCAGGAAAAGAGCAGGGTGGTCTCAAGGCCTTGCAGAGGTTTGCTTCTTATTCATGTTAATTCCAAGATACTGGGATCTCAGTGGTTGTGTGGTTGGGTTTTTTCCTTTGTCATTTTTCTGGGTCCTTTGCAATGAGGGCCCTAAACACCACTTACCTGATTACTATTTATTCTCATTTTCATCTTGGACTTCCTATCTTGTTTCTTATGAACCATTCAGTTTTCTTTTTGCAGTTTTCATATTGTCTAGCTGTGAAAGAACACAAACTGCAGAACAGATAAGGACAGAGATTGCAGAAGAAATCCTGTATAACAGGCTGTTAGTATCAGTGTCAGCTGAACTTGGTGGTTATTAAGTTTCTTTTCCAAAGGATGATTAAAACTCCCTCAGGCTCTGATATTTAATATTAGGTTCATTTATCAAATTCTGAAAATGAAAATGGGAACATTTTGATAGACTGGCATGCTGGTGATGTTACCAGCTAGCAGGTTGGTTCCACAGATTCTTCATGGTGATGGGATGGACTTTTTGTGCCAAATGACAGAATCAATCAGGTTGGAAGGGACCATAGTGGACCATCTGGTCCAACATCCCTGCTTAAGCAGGGTTTGCACGGAATTATGTCCAAACAGTTCCGGAATATCTCCACTCCACAACAACCTGGGCAACCTGTTCCAGTGTGTGGTCACCTGCACAGCAAAGCAGGCGTTCCTCGTGTTCAGGCGGAGCTTCCTGTGCATCACTTTCTGCCTCTTGTCCTGTTGCTTGGTACCACCAAGAAGGGCCTGGTTCCATCCTTTTGTCACTCTTGCCACTGAAGAAATCTCTCAGTTGTCTCTTCTCAAGGCTAAACAGGCCTCCAGCTGCCTCTTAAAGAGACGCTTCGGTTCCTTCATCACCGCTGCTGCCTCCGCTGGCCCCGCTCCAGGAGCTCCGTGTCCCTCTTGCCCCGAGGAGCGCAGAACTGGACACAGCCCTCCAGATGTGCCTCACCAGGGCTGAGCAGAGGAGCAGGACCACCAGCCTCGAGCTGCTGGCAGTGCCCTTCCCCCGCCGGCCAGGACTCCGCTGTCCGTGCCTCTGCCCTCGCTGCCTCAGCAGCCTCGGGCCGCGCCGCCGCCATCTCCGCAGCGCCGCGCCTCCTCCCGCCCGGCAGGGGGCGCGCCGCCGCCGAGCGCGCGGGCCGCGCCACTTCCGTGCGGGCGGGCGCATGGCGGGGCCGGCGGCGGCCCGGGAGCTGCTGGACGTGCGGCCCCGGCCAGGTGAGTCCGGCACCGGCGGGGCTCGGCTTGGCCAGGTGGTCCCAGGGAGGGGCTCGTCGGCCGCCGGTGGCCCACTGGTGATTGCATGCCGCGGGAAGGGGTAGCACGGAGCGAATAAGGGGGAAATCCACGTCAAACTATGGGAAGTCGTAACGACGTTTTTATGAGAACAAAGAAAAAAGCTAAAAAGGCAGAACGCTGCGCTTTAATTAACGATACCACTCTGTTGGTGGTCATAACGATAATGAGGATAATTAATGCCGAATTCCCTGGCACCGTTTGCTGCTGCCCGCGGTCGGCGGCAGTGATCGGCACCGCGATTTAAATCAGCGCGACCGGCCCGCCCCAGCCACCGCTGGCCGTGCCCTGCACGGGGGAGTGAGAGCTTCTTCTGTGCGTTGTAACTCTAGCTTAACCAAGCTTTGTCTCACAAACAGCTTTAGCTTAAGCTCAAGGAGTGTGTGAGAGGTGACCTGCAGGCTGAGACCCCTGGCCTGTATAGCCCAGTATTCCTTCCAAGAGCAGCAAAAGGAGATGGCAGTCACGGAGAACTTGTCAGCTTAAGCACTTCAATACCCGTTTGTTTGTTTCTTTGCAGGGCTGGAAGACATTTTGCTGATTAATTCAAAATGTAGCAGCAAGAAGGCCACAACTTTACAGACGGTAAAGGTGCCAAGGAGCAGTGGTGAGTACGGAGGAGCTTGTCCCTGGTGCCGTGTCTGGTAGTAGGCAACATTTGTGACACAGCTTTTGCTTTGGTGCTTTCCTTGAAAACGGAGAAGCTTTTGTGTTCAGTTTCTAGAGGTGGTAGGTCCTGCTCCCACTGGTGAGTCACATAAGTGGTGCTGCTGCAAAATCAGATTTTGCAATGCTAGGCGTTACAGCTCTTAAGTGTTAGGGACAGATTGTTCTTTCCCAGTATAGAGTTGTTGCTTGGGCTTCTTATCTCTTTTTAGAAGTAATTTCTTAGTACAATATATTTGTACTAAGTATAAAAGTATTTACTTTAAAAAGGACTCCTGTTATTTTATGTTTTGTGATTGAGCTGAAATTCAGAAAGATTGTTACATCGAATTCCTTGTTGGATAATAGTCTCTACAAAGATGGCAGTGTTTCAAAGATTGATTATACCTGTTAGATTTTTGTGGAGCTCGCCTGAAACAGTGAGCTCTTCTTAAATAAAGAAAACTAGTGTTTGGCTCATCTGCATGTGTGGAGCAGTTTATTTGAAGAAATTCTGGAGGTGAAAATATTGTCTTCCTTCATGGAAGGGTTATGAGTGTGATTCTCCTAATTCCATTGATTACATTAAAATTCTTGTGAAGTCCCACTGAGCTGTAGAGGATAAGTGCTTTATACTTCAGTCTGGAGCTTCTGTCTCTCTTCCACCATCTTAATTCAGAGTTTCTTTTGTTAATTATGTTGATCTTTCATTAGTCCATCATGGCATCTGCTACAGCTAATTTTTCCATCTTCTTTGAAACCTTCAGTCTATACTGAATTATTGTAGACAGCTGGAAATTACAGTTGAAATGGAATCTGTTATAAAGGCTCATATCTGAGGTATAAATGTGAGCACTAACGAGCATCTCTTTGACTCTATATATATGTGTGTGTGTGTGTGTGATAATTGTTTCTTTTCAGTTTTGGACCGAGTACAGAGCTTTTTACCACAGATGGCCCAGGCAAATGACGAGCTCAAAAGAAAAATGGTAACAGCACCTGCTCATCAGTTTGATATTGAACATCTAGACAGTGAAACAGAAAAAGTTATAGAAATGGTAAATACATTTTTTTTATTTTAGCATCTGTCTAGATGGGATTAAAATAACTCTCTGATCTTAGAATGAGTAATATGATAAAGTGAAGTCTTTACCATCATACTTGCAGAATTTAATCACAGAGCATAAAGCAGTTCAAGAACGGAATAAGACATGCTTTTGAATCTACAACTCTGAATCAATAGTCACAAATTGTATTTTAAATGTCATCTAGGTGATTATGTTTAAAAACTGGACAATATAAGGCCCAGTAAGGCATAACAGAAGGCTTTAGTGTAAGAGTAATAACTGGCTTTCAGCTCTGCTCTGTTGCTGTTTTTAGGAATTACTAGATCTTGGGTTTAGAAAAGTTGTTAGTGTTGTTGTGATCCTTTGTTGCTGGTATTTGTCTGTTTATTTACAGTCACATAAATATTTTATTTCTGGTTTTAACTGAAGTGCTGCAGCCACACAATTGTATAAGAAAACTATATTTTGAAGCTGATATATATGCATGACCCAGCCAAATGCCTTTTGGCTAAGCAGACCTCAAAAATTATAGCTCTGTATATGGATATATGAGATCTCTTCAGTAAATCTTCTGTTGGTTTAAACTGCTTGTTATTTTAGCGTACTTGTAGTGCCCTGAATACTACTACATTATAAGATATAAACTATATTAATATATATATCTACACATGATAATATTTTTGTCATGACCCCTTATACACTAAATTACATAATTTGAATTTTTTACTGAAAAGTAGTTTTGATGCCTGCTGCTTGTCAGTTTAAATACCTGATTTAGACAATCTGAGTTCAGCTATTGACTCAGTTCTTTCTTTGACAGTGGTATAAATATGGCCTTAGATTTCCTATAGGCCCATAATATTTATGAATCTCTTAATGATATTTGTAAAATCCCTGGAAAACTCAAAAGTCTTTTTTATTGTGGGTGTGATTTTCTTATGGTAGCAGGCTGTTTAATGTGTTCACCTTGTTTTACTCAAGTGATAAAAGTGCTGTAGTGTGTGTGTATAACATATATATATATATGTATGTAGTATGTGTTAACCAAGGTCTGTTTTTTTTTTCAGAATGTGGCTGTAGTTGAACTGAGTGATTCTGATACAGATGAAGAGTTGCTGACTTCAGAAGATGACTCAGAATCTGATGAAGATGACTCTGTAACTGATGAAGTGACAGTGGACAATATTAAGTTTCCTCAACAAAAGGGAGAAAAGGGCAAAATAGAAATTTTGGACAGCAAAGCAAATGAGTAAATCCATTTTATTTTACTTTAAAAAACCCAAACCAACCAAATCATATTTTCTCACTTTGAAGAGTTGTCTCTTAAAACCACTTTGTTTCCCAGTATAGCATCTCTCAGGATCCTGTGAAATGCTATAGCTTACATGGTGGAGAATTCAGGATCCACTCATGGCTGGGGAAGGCTGGGTTTCTGAAGAATTAAGTGTGATTTTATTCATCAAGTAACAGGGAAATGCATTTCATAGTAGATTACACTAAGAAAACAGCTAAAGGGGTACTTGAAAGTTGAAAATTCTTGTTCTGTTGCTTTGTTGAAGAAAGACTTTTTTTTTAGAGGAAGATGAGGGCAAGAAAGAGTTAACCAGGAAAGAAGCTTTGTTTTCATATTCCATGTCCTGTGAAGTGTTATGTACACTCTCTTCACTATTAAACATGATCTTTAAGTACCCCAGAGGTAAGTCTGCAATGCATTAATGGCAGTGACTGCTCAAGAGCTGAGCCAGCCTGGGTAAGGACAGCCATGAGTTCAGCAAAGGGTCACTTAGTACTTACCCTGTGTGCTGCACTGGGCTCCACACCAGCACAGCGAGCTTACAGGCTCCTGGGAAGCCTTTGTGGCTATGGTGCAAACACCCTCCATACTCAAAGGATCAAGGCTGCCTCTGGGGTGTTATGGTGGCTTTAAGCTACACTTTTCATCCCCCAATTTCCCTGCCACATTTCCAATCTCCATTTTGTTAACTGTCACTGACAGAAGGCGGAAAAGGTGACTTTTCAGCTGGCCTGTACTTAAGTTGGCTTGACACAATTGTGACACCAGAATCAGTGAAAGTGTGTCCCATTTATACTTAACCTCAGAGTGATCAAATACAATGGTTTGGGCTATTACATTCACTTCATAGATCAGTCTGCATTTCAGAAGTATCTGTCATGCTCCTGGATGTCATTGTTTCTTAAGGGAACTTTGTATATTCTACACCATTAAAGTAAAATTTTCAATACTGTATTTGCTCAAATATTACACTTAATGTCATTATTTGGAACCTGCAGTTACTTATAGAATTTATTTTGAATCCTGTACCTGAAGTTCTAGTTTTAATACCTGTTTCTGTAGTATTTGTAGTAAGAAATAACAGGGATTCTAGTCTTTCTTTTACAATGTGGCTTAAATATAAGATGGAGACATGATTTACTGATTAAATCATGGAATATTTTAGTGAAGAGGAAGGATGGGGATCAAAGAAGCAGACTGCTACCTTTAATAGCAGCCACAAATAAATGAAGCTTTGGGTGTTTTTGCATTGTAAGAGCAAGGAGTCTTAACAGGCTTAGTTAAATAAGGTCTCAATCTATAGAAAATTTCTTCCAAACTGAAAAAAGTTTGAAAGCTAACATCTGACCTTGGTCATTTAACAAGGGATTTTCCCAGAGATTAAAAAGAACCCAAAAGTGTGAAATACAAAGTAATAATCATATAGTATGAAACAGTGATTACAGTCCATCTGCAGAGACACAAAATGTGATTTTAATCCATTAATGTAACCACCTTTCAAACTGCAGGCAGATTACACATTCCATATCAACAAAAAGGTAGAAAATATTTTCAGTAACTTCAGCTTGATATGCATAGTTTAACACCAATATTGAACTCTGTATGTACTATACAAAGATCATAGTAAGTGCACTTCCTTGCATTGATTTACTTCTTATGGCACAAAGGTTTTCTGTACTGCTGAAAAGTCACCAGAGCAGAGTGTTTAATTGCTACCGTAAAGCCTGAACTGGTCTATAGCAAAAACGGCATAATCAGTATGTTCTAGTTCAACTTTGAAAGCCTAATGACTAAAGATTTTAAATGATCATGTAAACATTATGTCACAGAAACAGGAAGTAGGTGTCTGAGAACTTTCTTCAGTTCTGTTTAAAAAAAAGAAACTGAACCATATTCTTGGGGTGGGGAGAAGATGGAAGGAAATTGTGCTGCCAACTGTTGCTGCTACATAATTTAAATAACTTCAGGGTGATTTCCAAAAGCCATTGTCTGTCAGACTAAAATCTGGACCTAATTTACAGAAACTTATCCATGGAATGAGTATTTTACTTTGTTCTTTTGGTTGTAGCACTGCAGACATATCCTAGGTGTGGTATCGAGCGCTTGGTGTGGTAATCAGGATCCAAACTCTGCTGAAAGTCTGCTTCCCAAGTGAAGCTGTTACTTTAATATTCCACAGTGATGGCTTTGGTTCTGAGATATTCATGAAGAGCTTCTTCACCTGTACAAGCACAATATTCATCTGTTAGAACAGCAGCTAAATGAATTTTGTCAGACTGTAACTATTACTAAGAAAAAATTTGAAGCACTGCAGCCAATATTTGAGTTCTTCAGGAACAATGAAAACTAATTACCTTCCCACTGTGATTTACAGACCTGGTTTGTCAAGGGGCCAGACCCAACAGATGTGGCAGAAAAAGGAACTGGATTTAACAAGCAGCTCCCCAAGCAGCAGTAGTCTTTAGATGGCCACTGGGGGCTCATAGGTGTATTTATGAACTTTGCTTCCCCTCTATTAAAGGTCAGAGGTAGAGAAGCTGTGTGAAAATCATTAATCTTTTTTTCCCTGACATTGTGACTCATTTTGGTTTCAGGAAGTGTCTTTGGAGATTCCAAAAGCAAAAATTAAATTAAATTTGATTTTCCTTTTTTCTCTGCCGTGAAGCTTGAGCTGTCCAGACTTGCAAGGTTTCTTTGACAAAATAAACTTCACGTTTCTAAAAAGTTGTTTTGAAAAGAATATTTTTAATGCATCTTTTTCTGTGTCTGTTGGCAAATTCTGGTGACATTTTAAGGTATAAAAAAGTTTCCCATGCTTTTACTTAGAGGAGAAACCTAAATTAGCATTCTATCTGAGGGAAAGAATATTTTGGCCAATACCATTGTTACTTGACAGCCTTTTGTACCCTGTACAGAGCTCTGGAAAAGCTGTAGTTTATTTGTCTGCTCTCAGAGTAGTTGGAGAGGAATATTCTGTGATATTTAGCAAATATACAGGAAATGCTGAATGGGAGGTATTGAAGTAGCAATACTTAGGGAGGGAGAGGAATTGGGTTAAGGATTGTAATTCTTTGATTGATTAGGACTCTGAGACAATAAATGAGGGAAGGAAACAACTTACCTAAATCTTTCCCAAAGCCAGACAGCTTAAATCCTCCAAATGGCGCTGCCACATCAGTTTTGTTGTAAGTGTTAATAAAAACTGTCCCAGCTTCTAGCTTTTCACTGATGTAGAGAGCTTTGTTTATGTCTTTTGTGAAAACTCCTGAAGCTAAGCCATATTCTGTGGCATTTGCCCGTCGCAATACTCCATCAACATCCCTGAGGGGAAAGAAATTACTTAATTGCAACTAGGTAAAATAAACAAGTGTTAGCAACCTTCTACCTTCGGTGTCATTGAAGCAACTTTTCACATGGCCTTCCTTCTCCAGTGAGCTTTTATAAAGATGACTTATTAAGGACAAATCGGTGTGTCAATCTGAGAGATCCATGGCAATTCACATCCTTGCTTCAAGCTTGTGAAGCTCATAACTTCACTTTTCAAAGGTTAAGATCTACACTGAGAAATGCCACAGGAAATGGTGCTACAGTACAACTTGGAAATTAGAGCAATACAAAAATGCCTGTAAAGCAGATGATGAATCCATTTGCTAAAATTTTGTCCAGCTTTACAAGTTAATGCAGAATAAAAGCTGGAATTTAAACTGCTATCAAGACACAACTTTTCAGACTATTTCCAGAGTGCTATTTTCTATCTGCATCTCATCTCCATACAGCTTCAAAAATTGATAGTAGTTTAAAACTTTAAAAAATTCAATGCAGTCCCTTAAGACTACAGAATTTATGAATGTGAAGGGTTATCTACATAGCTGGTTCTTTATTACCAAACTGCAGAAGATGAAACCTGATGGAAATATTTATGCGAAGTTTCTATGTAGAGTTTTAATCTCATCTGTATGTTAAATAATTCTTATGAGCCAGAATGAGAGATATTATAAATGACAGTTTACAAAATATACAGAGGAGTTTTCATTTGCAACAGTAATATGCCAGTGTTACACAACACTGCAGTCCTCTGTAACAAGAAAAATAAGTAATTCCCCTGGGAAAAATACACATTTTGTAATTTGATCAAGCTGTTGCAATTACCACACAAACTTCACTAAAACATTTCACTAAGTACTAGGTATTCAGGTTGGTCTAACAAGATTTAACAAAATACTGTGTATGCTGTCACTTCCTGACTTTGGGTGAAAATGGTACAGTAACCGGACGAGAACATACCCATTTTTAAATTTAGAGATGACCATCACAGGACCAAAGGATTCTTCCTGGGCGATATACATGTGGTCTTCAACATCTGTGAATACAGTGGGTTCCATGAAGAAACCTGAAGAGAGGATAGAGCAGCATTCAAGCATGGTAAAAGTGCTTAAGGGTTTGCTGTTGTGCAAGCCATTTCTGTCCCACGCTTTGAGGTCGCAATAACTTGCAACTTGAAACAGAAAACATATGAATGAAGTATGACTGGAAATGCATGCACGTCAAGAGAAATGGCAGACAAAAGGGTAAAAGAACAGCCTGTACATCGGTGACAACGTGTGCCATTTCCTGCCAGGCTGGGAGGTCTGCATGCCACAGCCCAGGTGACTCCTTGGGGGAAGACCCTTATACTCTGAAGACAAGGTTACAGCAAGTCACAGAGGCCACTGTTTTTCTTGCTGCCCAGCAAGAAGATAGATTTTAAGGTCTAAATAAAGATCTCATGCTTAATTTGCACAGCTTCTCATAATATGAGATTTGAAAGCTCTGTGGTATCATGGGCTTACCTGGTACTGTTCCCATGATACTGCAACTCCACAAAATAGCCCAGACAATGGTGACAGCTTTTGCATAAAGTGTAAAAGTTCTAAATATCTCTGGAAAGCATTTTACCTGGTCTATGTACTTGTTTTCCTCCATACACTAGAGTGGCTCCTTCTTTTACTCCAGTTTCACAGTATTGCAGCAGCTTTTCCAAATGTGCCTTGTGATTTTGCGGACCATGATCTGTAGATCTGTCAAGTGGATCACCAATTTTCATCTTTTTTATTTCTTCAACCTATGGGTTACCCAATTAAATGAAGTTACATAACACAGCAATAGTGTTAAAGTGACCAGAAATTTGGAATGCTGCATTTTTTCGTGCTATGAAGATTGAATCTAAGAAAATACTCGATTCTTAGATATAATGCTTCTCCCTTTTTTAAAATAAGGCTTTGTCTTTTGTTTCATAATCTCTAATTACTTCTGAAAGTTTTTGATGCTTTGTTCATGTGCGTATTCTCTTCTGCTATTAAGATAGGCATGTAAAATGTTAACTTTTACCTGTGGTATATGACTTAAGACAGTGATTTCCTGTTCTTAAGCAAAATAAATGAATTCTCCAGTGGCACAGCATGGCGACTATTGCATCTTTAATAGCGATCTTTGTATTAGTCTAGCTGTGCTTCCAATATTCCTTTTTTTGACTTTACAGAAGCCTTCTTCAATCACATTGACCTGAGTTCAGTAATTATTTGTAGTCTTATTTTCCTAGTTAAATACGAACTATCACTGAAGGTACAATATCTATTTAACTGCCATTTATTGGCATTACTGATACAAATATCTCCCTTTAATGCTTCTTTTTAACCATGTAAGAGGTTCCTGAGAAGCAGCACTGTCTATTACAAGCAATAATGAGAAATTAGACAACTGAAAATAAGAAACACAAATGTCTATAAAACTAGTGGATCCTTCTGCCACAGTAAAACATATGCTTAAACTTTAGTTGTTGAATATCTTACCACTTTTCTAACAAACTCATCATGAATTGATTCTTCCACAAACAGCCTGCCAGCTGCAATGCAGTTTTCTCCTTTGTTGAAATACACTGCTCCCATACCCTAATCAGGAAAAAACAATAAATATTTATATGCATTTTGTTCAGTCTCCATTCTGTTCCCTTAGGTTGCATGCAGTGTTTGTGACCCCAGAAGTTTAATGCTTTATGTTAAAGGATATCACCACTGCAACATCTTATTTATGGACTTTGAACACAATATAGGTGGTAGGGAAGGTGAATTATGATTGATAATTGATGAATGATTGATTGATTGATTGATTAACTAAAAACTATATGGCAATAGGGGACTCAATTATTTGTTTTGTTGTAATTTTTAATGTATATTTCTTGTAGTACTGCCTTTTTGGGGCAGCATGAATAGTTAAATTGTGCTGGCATAAAGAAATATCTGAGTGTATTCTAACAGATCTCAAGGTTTTTCATGCAAAGAATCCCTGGGGGGTTTTTTGTTGGTTTTTTGTTTGTTTGTTTGTTTGTTTGTCTGTTTGTTTGTTTTTGGGGGTTTGTTTTGGTTTGGTTTGGGTTTTTTTTGCAAATCAGGAATAATATTGCAGTGCTGTGAGGATGTACCACAAAGGCTTTGAATAAATTTTACTTCAAAGTAGCATTACCATTTTTACAGCTCTGTCAAGTTCACAGTCACTGAATATGATCAATGGTGATTTCCCACCAAGTTCCAGAGAAACTTTCTTCAGGTTAGCAGCTGCACTGTAAAAAATAAAAATAGTCACATAAACCCAAAATAGTCATACAAACCTCTGCTGTCCAGTAGTGACTTAATCAATTCTACACAGTGGTAAACAACTATATATATTTATGCTTTTTCATTACTGCTACATGCACAATATATCTAGTAAGATACTTCAGAACCAGACTAAGCAGGGTTTATTTATGATTCTTTTGCTGAGAGTACCTCTTCATGATCTGTTTACCAGTTGGAGTTGAACCAGTGAATCCAACTTTGCGAACATCTGGATGTTCAGAGAGGTGCTGTCCCACTAGGCCACCTATCAGAGCAGGAAAGCAGTGTAACTGGATGGTACATGGACATTTTTTACTATTCCAGCAGCAGCACTGTAACACAGAAGGAGCTTACACCACAAATCAAATACAGTATCACATCCCTATTTACATTTGCAGCTTTATTCCTATGACTACAAATAAGCTTCACAATTAAGTGAACATGTTTTCTGTAATACATTCTTCTCCAGAGTGTTTGTGTCAATTGTGTGAACTTGTAAAGGGTGTAGGCTGACATCTCCTACCACTAACTAAAGCAGATTTTTCCAGTTCTCGTCTAGAAACATGTGAAATCACTGCATGAAAAGATGCAAGCCTAGTACCTGTGAACAGACCTTCAAAAAGGTGAAGAACTTCACCAGTTTTAGCATGAAAATGATGAGTTTTAGCAGAAAAATGATGAGTTCAAGTTTTACCTGAACCAGGCAGAATATTTATAACGCCCTTAGGAAATCCAGCTTTAGCTGAGAGTTCTGCAAACTTCAAGGAAGTCAGAGGTGTGACCTAAGTAGAAACATTTAGGTTAGGTCTCCTGTTTTAATCAAATGCCTTATGATACCTTTTACATTCAATACATCTTAGTTTTGATACAATATTCACCTTCTTACAGTATTCGCAAATTAGAAGTGATGGCTTCTTGCGGAAAATAATTAATTATTGAAAATGAGATTAGCACCAGAGCAGAATTGGAGTCAATCAATACTATGTGTTGCCATGGCAGTTTGTATTATTACAAATGCACTTTCAAATATATGACACAGTCAACATATGACAGATCAACCTGTGGTGAAATCTGCTATATTGCCTAAATCATTCT